GGGGGGGGGGGGAGGTTCTAGAGAGGAATTTAGGAAGGTGCTCCCTCTCCCCTTCTCTCTTCCTCTCTCCCCCTCCCTCCCATCCCCCAACCCCTGCACAGCACCAAATAACATAGCACTAAGTTATTGGGGATTACTTCCCGACATAAACAGTATTTTCATCACTCATAACTTGAACATTAACCAATGACATTTTAAAAGTTATGAATAATATATAGTTTACTTTAAAAATTTTATGGCATTCGTTCTGGAAAACATTTTCTGTGGATCTTTTTTCCTTTATGATTTTTTAGGAACCAGGCAACCTGAGATGTTTCAAAATATATAAGCAAAAAACTAGACAACAAAAAACTGTAGACAACACATCTGCAGTACATAATGTTTTACCATGCTTTATTTATATCACAGTTGGTGATGTTGACTGGGGTCAGGGGTGGCTGTTGGCTTGTAGTTGTATTAGGCCATTTGTGTGTGCCCGTTGCAAAAATACATAAGCTAAGTTGATACTAAGCACACTGGGTTTCTTTTGGTTGATTTTCTTTTATTCATTAAACAGTTGTGGTTGGAAATATGAACTCTTTGTAACTTCAAGGATTTTTATTTTATTTATTGAGCATCTACCTTGCTTAATCTACCTCTTCTACCTCTTGTTTAACATAATTAATTTAGACTAGTTCTTACACTTTGGCAGGCATCAGAATCACATGAAAGCTTGTTAGAGCAGAGTGCTATGCTCCACCTTCAAAATTTCTGATTAAGTAGGTCTGGGGTGAGGCCCAAATTTTGTACTTCTAATCACTTCCCAGGTGATGTAAATGACTTTTTAAGTGAGTCCTTGTCCTAAAACAGTTAGAAAAACACTGGATAATAGGGTACCCAGAGAAATGCAGACTTCTTCTGTCCTATGCAATTTTTGTTTACGTTACTGAAACTTCAAAATTATATATCACCATTTTATTATTGTAATACCCTATTCTTGTGACTCACCCCTCAGCCTGGGTAAATATTTCATTCCTTCTATAAAACATAGTAAAAGTTTACTTAAGTAAAGGAAAATGGCTGCAGTTTTTATGGGACCACCAGTATTTGGCTCTGCCTTTTCTGTACTGTGTCAGGTTACTTTGTTTTTCACTTGTGTGTTTTTTGTGTGTTTTGTGTTTTTTTTTTAGCAAAGGCGTTCATGCATCTAGCAGTACAGCAAATTACCAGCTTTTGCTACACACACATACACACACACATGCATACATACATACATATATTTATCTGGGACTTTGGAGAAAGTGTTAGTATATGAGGGGCCCAAGATTGGAATTGGTACACTGATACTTAGTCTTGGTAAGCTGTTTAACGGGTTTTGAGATCCTGGAAAGGTTACCTGCTAATTGTTTTCTTCACTGTAAAAGCAGTCAATTTGATTGTATCTTCAAGAGATGCTCCAACTATAAAAATTTCCTTTTTCTTGAAGCTCTATTGTATAAATGGCAGTCTTTTCATATTAACTGGTGGTGTAGAACATAAATGTAGCATCTCAAGGAATTGGGTCTCACTGGGTAATGATCAAATTAATAATGAGGAATATCCAGGAGTCTGTCTCTGGAACCTAGAAGTAAGAGGGTTCAGGCTTATGCATAGTTGTTAATAAAACAAGGCAAATAATAGCTCCATTAATCTAATTCACAATACTTACAATCTGCTATTTGTAACATTTTCCCTCTTAGAAAAATGTAAAAGAATGAGTGTTTGGGTCAGCTTTGCTTTTGAATGCCTCTATATTGTTTAAAGCTTGATGAATGTGAAGAGGTAAAAGATCAAAGTAAAGATAGTGGCTTTTTAAAATAAGTTAAGGAGTTTTCAAGCTAAAAAGTCTGATACTTTATCATTTGTGACTTATTCTCACATTTTTAAGATGCAAAATTTATATGCATTTTACAATCTATGAGGGTCTTAAAAACTGTTGGCAATTTGGTCGTCATTGCCTATGAATGCTTCAACTTGATCTGTCACTTCAATTAAGTATTGTACAGTTTTGGAACTATGTATTAAGTTACTTGCTAATTAAAATGCCTTAAAAAACGTCACTAACATTCCATATTGAAATAAGTAGGCTTGGAAACTGAACAGCAGGTTGTACGTTTCATAGTATTTAAGCAAATATTTGTTGTTGGAAGAGTGACCAAATTGCAAAGCAACAGACAAGAGCTTTGTTGTGAATCGAAGGAAGTTACAAGTAGATAAAACTATTATGTTTTGCTATTGAGACAATGTGCAAAACGATTACCTAACATCTGAGGCAGAAGAAATTTTCAAATGTCCTGCAATAGATCAAAGACATTTCAGAGCAACTAGAGGCTGTAATGTAGCTGATTCATGCACTGTGCTACACTATTGTTAAGGCATTGAGTCAGAGTTTAATTGACACTTTTTTCTTTCATGGTTTTAATATAAAATAATCTTGTGGATAATGCTTTGTCGATTCCAGAAATGTGTTCAGTTGAAATAAAGAGGATTCATTTCTTTTGTACATTGTCAATTTGCTAAACTTACTGCTTCAACAGATGGCATCAGCTAAGACTGTCAAGTTGGTCTGTGAAAGATTAGGTTAGACTAATTTGTGAAAAATAGAGCCAAAATAGTGAAGTCATAAGTGATGACTTCAGATTTTATACTGCTTTTAAATCTAAATAAAATCATGGATTTGTATTTAAAGGAAGGAGCTGTGACTTCAGCATTTGCAGGCAGACTGTTTTGTCCAGGCGCCAAACTAAAGTAGTTGTTTTGTATTAGTGACAGTAATAGCCAGAATGGAATGGACAGGAGGTGGCTGACCCTTAAAACCAATCTGCAAACCACCCTTCGAGTAGGGCCTGGATTCCATATTAGCTCACTTCTCTTGAGCCATCCCTAAGCCTGGTTTCCCTCTCTTTGGTTCATTGATCTAGCTGGTGTCATATGGCTCTTCCTTGTATATTTGTCTGCATTTCTTTATTACTAATGCTGCTTCTCATCTCATTCCATGAATGTATTCCTTTTTGTGCTTCTTTATGATTGTTTCATTGCATTGGGTGGGGTAGGGGAAAGAGAGAGTAGACTCGTGTGCTCTCTTAGGCCTTTTGAACCAGGAGTCTGCTGTAGTGCAAGTGGAGAATTATTAAGGCTTTTAAAAGAAATGCACATTTGCATATAGTAATGTTTTAGTGATAATGATGTGGCATTTTAAAGCAACTTACATTAGAATGGTTTCAGTTTTGTTTCGCGGGTTGAATATTTGTATGCTTCGAATTTTGCTTTTGCATTTGTGTGAAACCATGTGATCATTATATTTTGTAATCAGACTTGTTTTCTCAGTGCATTTCAGTATTGCAATAATACTTGACTAGGCCTGATAATGTATAGCTTGTTTGATATATACTCTAAAAATTTTTTCTTCAAGCTTAATTTTGCAAATGATTATGAAACAGGAGCACTTTTGGGCAAAGGTTTTGGGTAAATTTTGACTTATCTGATGTTTTTGTATTTATTTTTATGCAAGTTTTAGTTTTAAAATTTCCTAAATGAACTTTTACCAACCACGTTCTTTGTGAATATAGATACATGACTGATGGGATGTTACTTCGTGAAGCTATGAATGATCCTCTCCTGGAGCGTTACGGTGTAATAATTCTCGATGAGGCTCATGAAAGGACATTGGCTACAGATATCCTCATGGGTGTTCTCAAAGAAGTTGTGAGACAGAGATCAGATTTAAAGGTGAAGTAATTTCTTTACTCATTTTATTTATAAAATGTACATATAAAAAACAGGGAACACAGTGCTGATCAGTAACTATAAGAGAAGCAACCACTGAGTACTCACATTGATGGTTTTCTTTCTAATCTACTTTGCTTTGTCTTCATTTTAGATTTTAACTATACTTCTACTTTTGAGTAATGTATTTTTAAGCCAAATCTTTTTCATTTCTAACCCACCCAGCTGTTGTTTAATGATCTATAATATATGGTAGTTTTGTAACCCTTCTGCTCCAAAGGTTACAGAGGTCTTCTCTAAGGTTCAAATCGTTGTCCTTGTCTCAGCAGTGCTGGGAGGGGCAATAGCTATACCCAAAACAACCCACTTCTTAGAAATTAATTTGTTTATCCTAGTGCTTTTTTGATTGTTTTTCTGTTATACCAATTTTACTCTGACTAGTGTTACTATGTTGAGAAGGGTTTAAAACTGACTAAATGTTCTGTTTCTTTTTTTCTTTTTTTTTTTTTATCTTCATATATTTTTCTTTCAAAAACCAAATTATGTTTTAAAGAATGTATTTGAGGAACTATATGAGTGCTACCATTATTGTTGAAGCTTTATGAGCTATTGAAGTTTTGGGGAGAAAGTCAGAGTAGAAATTAAGAACTCTAGAATGTTTTATGGGGAGGGAGGAGCCTTCTATTTAAGTAGATTTTAAATGGGTTATATAATGTATGATTTACACAGAAGGACTATAATTGCATAGTCACTCAGACCTGGACCTGAACAACCTTTTGTAGTTGTGGCTTTAAAAAGAAACCTATGTTTATTTTAGGAATCTGTTAAAGAAGTCGTGCTTATCAAAAGGGGATTTAGAAGAAGGGACAAAGTTTATATCTGCCATTGATTCTTTTTGTTTTTCTCTATGTGCAAGATTCTTGTGTTCTCTTTAGTAAATGGAGCAGTAATGATAATACATATTAGTGATACCTTTTACTAACACCTTTTATATATTATGTAATTTTATAAACTTTGGTTCTTAAGGTATTGTTTCATGAAGATAATATAGTCTATGTATTGGGTGTCAGGTTTATTTCTAATTTTTTTAATGTAAATAACTTGCTATAGCTCTGTCTTACTGTATTTGTTGTTTTTAATCACAATTTATTAGTTTGAAGACTTGTAGAATTTTTTATAACACATACACTATATAGAACAGTAAACATTACTTGTTTTTCTTTAAGACTACATAAGAATCCTTAAAGACAACTTCAGATAATTTACTGTTTTTTGTTTGTTTGTTTTTTTTTGTTTTTTTTGCCAGGTTATAGTTATGAGTGCTACTCTAGATGCAGGAAAATTCCAGATTTATTTTGATAACTGTCCTCTTTTAACTATTCCTGGACGTACACACCCTGTTGAGATCTTTTATACTCCTGAACCAGAGAGAGATTACCTTGAAGCAGCAATTCGAACAGTTATCCAGATTCACATGTGTGAAGAAGAGGAGGGAGATCTTCTACTTTTCTTAACTGGTCAAGAGGTATTGTCATTATTTGCTTCATTATTTAGCCATTGGTGTATTATTTCTATATCTAACAACTTTTAAGAACTTGGCATATATTAACCATTTTTTAAAGTCTCAATGTTTAAAATTTTTCTTCAACATGATTGTATTCGTGTATCACAATATAAACCTTATATAATCCATGCACTCTAATAATACCCTTTTATACCATTAGTGTTTTTGTTCTAGTTAATTATCCTAAGAATGTTAAGTGCTTTAAGAATTCAAAGATTTAGCAATTTAGTCTCAATTTTGGAGAGACTTGGGTGGTCCAGTAATATGTGGTAATTTGCAGTTTTGCTGAGGTATCAATTTAATCACAGCTGATATAAAATCAGATTATGGTAGTTATTTGAGCTTGCGAGTGAGTGCAGATAACTTAGGTGCCCATCTACCATCAGTGAGTGCTTTTGTCTTCTTCCACATGCTCATTGAGGATTGAAAGGAATCACTGAAATTTCTTAGAATTTATCTCATTTTAAGATACGAATTTTAGCCCTGTCAGGTGTTGCTCAGTTGGTTGGGCATCATCCAGTGCACAAGGTTGCCAGTTCGATTCCTGGTCAGGGCACATGCTTGGGTTTTGGGCTTGATCCTCAGTAGGGGGCATGCAGGAGGCAGCTGACCCATGTTTTACTCTCATATCAATGTTTCTCCCCCACCCCCTTCCTCTCTCCCAAAATCAATTAAAAAAAAAAAAAGTTTTTATTATTTTTAACATATTTTTATTGATTTCAGAGAGAGGAAGAAGAGGGAGAGAGAGAAACATCAATGATAAGAGTCATTGATTGGCTGCCTTCTGCAACGCCCCCTGCAGGAGGCCAAACCTGCAGCCCCTGGGGCATGTGCCCTGACCGGGAATCGAACCGAGATCTCCTGAATCATAAGTTGATGCTCCACCACTGAGCCACACTGGCTGAGCAAAATATGTTTTTATTGATTTCAGAGAGGGCGGGAGAAGTGATAGAGAAACATCGATGAGAGGGAGACATTGACCAGGTGCCTCCTGCAGGCCCCCACTGGGGATGGAACCTGAAACCCGGTCATGTGCCCTGACCAGGAATGGAAGGGGGCCTCTTGGTTCATGGTTGACACTTAGCCACACCAGCTGGGCTCTGATAATCAATTTTTAAAAACCTTTTTTTAAAAAAGATACAAAGTTTATTCTCCGGTGTAGCAAACTCATTTTTCCAAACTTGTTTCCAAAAAGATGTTTATAGGTGTGCTGTGAAATTCTTAAGTGCCTACATAAGTTCAGGAAATACCTGGATAAAATAGTTTTTATAAAGCCATTTAAGAAAGGTTTTTCTTAGAGTTTATCATTTGCTCTAATAGGCTTTGTGAATTTCTAGAATATGCTCCTCAAACTAATAAGCATGCCAATCACTTAGAAATCTTGCAGATTCTGATTCAAAGGTCAGGTGGGGCCTGAGATTCTGTATTCCTAATGAGCTTCCAAGTAATGCTGCAGTTCTCAAGGGATAAGTAGCAAGGTTCAAGAGTGAGTACTGCTGTTCCATTAGAACTTTTTTTAATGCTGGAAATATTCTTATCTGTGAAGCCGTCAATGACATGACTTTTGAGTATTTGAAATGTGGGTAGTGACAGGAGAGACTAAAGTTTTATTTTACAGAAATTTAATTAATTTTTAAATTTAAATATCTACACGTGGTGCCCCTCTCTCCTGTTTGTTTTTGTATGACCACTGGTTAATACTTTCTTTTACATTTTTAAAGGGATGTAAATTAAAACAAAGAATATGCAGCATGGATGATATATGGATGCAAAGCCTAAAATATTTGGGCCCTTTACAGTGAAAAATCTGACCCCTGCTCCAGAACATTTTTGCTCAGGTGTGGTCAGTGGATTGCCTGCCTAGGGGAGGAGAGCTTGCTAAAACAAAGGAGGTTCTTGACCCTGTTCCAGACTTTTTGAAACAGGTGAAATTTAAAAGTGAAATACAGGAATCTGCATCTCCTACCAGCTCCTCAGGCCTTTTTTATATTTTCTTAGGTTTAAAGTTCTCTTCTCCAGAGGAATGATTCAGTGGCTGTGGTCATGACTGCAACCACCTAAACAGTGTTGTGGGAAATTGCCCTAGTTATTTATCTCAGCTGTCTGCTATTTTATTGCTTATCTCTAGAATGTGAACTCTCTTTGTGTTCAGTTTCTACAGGGATGCTTGGTATATGAGTAATTTTTTTGTCCATTTCTTCAGTATTGTCTGTATGATTTATAATTTGTGCCCCATTGGCTATAGTTTCTTTTCTGTAAAGATTTTCAACCTTAACACTATTTACATTGAAAATCAATTCTTTGTCGTGGGGGTGTTTATTAGTATCTCTGGCCTCTACCCATTAGATGCAGTAACTCTCCCTTTCCTGGTTGTCACAACCAAAAATGTCTACACACACTGCAGATGTCCCTAGAGGGGTTCAAAATCATTGTCAGTAAAGACTGAATCATACTGTTCTTTTGTGAAATAAGATGTGTAGTGTAGCAGATTCAGTTTTACAGATAAATCTCTGTTGATAATAGTCTTCCTTTCTATGCATTTTGGATGAAAGAAATTTTGTGTATTGTGTAAGCAAGAGTACCAAGTGCTTTTTTTGATGGCATATAAACCATATTTATCCTGTAATGCTGTGCTGAGGTATTCATTTTGTCTTTTTGTGTCTGGTCTTGATAGTTTCTCACTTCCTCCAGAATGCATGGTATATTTTGTTAAACCACTGTTTAAAATAATTATGTTCATATAATCAAGCATATTAGAATTCTGTCAGAAATATCAGATGTCCTCATCGTGAGGACCTGAAAGACTTTTATGAGTTGATATTTTGTGCAGTTGATATTTTGGAAACTTCCTATAGCTTGGGAAAGGAAGGAAGTAAACCCCGTGGTTTCAAATGTGTCCTGGAAGGGGGAATATAAAGTCTTTCAATAAAGTGTCATAGTAATTGTGAACTAGGTTTAAATGTGCCCTTTAGATGACTAGTCTTGAATTTGAAGGCCTTTGAGGAGAAGGTAGCAGAGAACCTAATGTACTTTGTTTCATTGATTATATATAGTAGCACTGATTTAACGATATATAAAATAATTACCATTCCTCATGTTCTTTACCCTTTGTTATTTTTTCTTAGTTAAAAGATAGAGTCTGGGAATTCATTACTCATAAATTTGAATAGCATCCATAAAGTATATCTTGTGAAATTTTAAAATGATTTTAAAGACCGTGTTATATATTACCATTTTGACTACTTAAGCAATATTCCTCTATATAATCATCTGACTTAATTTGGAAGAGATCAGTTTTAATTGGTGAGAGGTTAGGAAAGGTTTGAATTCTAGAATGTTTTTTATGTTGTATACTACTGCTTAAAATGGGACTTACAAAGTCTTTTGGGGAGCTACACTATCGAATTAGATAATATAATTGAAATATCAGTTTGTAAATGCATACTTGAAGATGTTGAAACCCTTCATTCTTTAAGCAGTATTCTTTAATTTGCTGAGTAAAGTTGACTTTTCCACATGTAGTGAGTTCAGACTCTTTGAATTAGTAGGGTCCAAATTAATTTATTGACGTATGATACTTTTGGAATTGAAAGTCTTCTCAAATCAGATACTTCTGGCTGAATTCTCTGTATTGCTCATGGCTGAGCAGATGGTTGCTTTATGTTGATGACATGACTGCCAGTGAGTTTTGTGGTCTTCTAAACAGTGTATCAACTTTATGACAATTATGTAAACTTCAGGAGAAAATTTTGTTGCAGATTTTTAAAATTTAGTCTTTGCAGATTAGATAGTTTACTCTCAAGTAACATTGGAATTATCTTCCTGTTAAAATTCTGGAATCTGCAAATGTACAATATTGGGGCACTTTCCAATACTGTATGTGAAATCTGGGTGTTTGGTGACTTCTAACCATTTATTTTCTGGTCAGATATATGGCTTAAATTAATAAAATTGTGAATATTCTGAATATTGGCAGCCATTTTCCCTTTTTTCTAGAAAAATCTTGTTTTGCATTTATATCTAAACTTTTTGATTTGGAAGATAGCTAATTTTGTATTTGCATACCAGTAGGGGGCATGCTAATCTCTGTACAGAATTTGGTATCAGTACTTTAAAAAATATATATGCTTCATTTGTTATATTTTTTTCTTTCATTGAATAATGTTCTTTTATTTTCTTTTAGAAACTTTAGGCCTCAAAGAGAACTAGTAACATCTAATCTTTAATAGTAATTTTCTGTGTCATAATTTTCAAGACCATACCTGTTGTTTAAGAAAACTAGTATGCTTGAAATGGATACTTAAAAAAAATTTGTTTTGGTCATCTAAGAACTTTGCATGCTTTAACACACACAAAAAAGCTGCACTGCACTTTAACTTAAAATCATTTCAAGGAAAATTCTAGTTTGAAATAATGAAAATATGGAATAAGTTTGCCTGCTAATTTTTTTTCTTTTGTAAAGAAAAATCATTGTCTTTGGGGTTAAAGATAATTTTTTTTGATAAGGATAATTTATAATTGGGTCATTCATTGGACAGGTTGGCAAATCACTTGTTCAACATACTTTTGAGTTTAACTGAATTAATGCTCCAGTGACATTTAAACTACATCTCCCTCCTGATTTTTAAGTTCCTTTGCCAACTCCACCTACCTTACCTCTCTGTGTCTCTCACACTCTCAGTATTCATTGTGTCTCCTCTCTTTAAATCTAGATTTGAAATGCAAATATATTGAAATAGTTTTCTGTGGTGGGGAAATTTTTGAAAGCGCTTTAAAGATATTTGGGTTAGCCTAGTTCTTAAGTATGTTGATACCGTAAAGGTGTTTCTTCTCATTAGGAACAATGAAACAAATCTTCCATATAATTGCATTAGTGATAACTGGACATTAAAGCCCAGTTGGCTTCTTTAAAAATCTAGCACATCAATTTCTTTTAGATTGTGAAAATTGAAAAGGTTATGACCTCAGTTAAGTATTCCTGGATGAGAAATTCAATTTTAGTACAACTTGTTGAGAATTAATTAGGACATCCAACTTTAAGAAAAGGGATGTGGAGTGCCAATAAAGCAGTTGTGTGTGTGTTTGGCTACAGAAATCAAAGTTTTTAAAATTATTTTGGAAATCCCAATGAGATTTGCTAAATTAGTTTTGATTATGTAATTGAAAATATGCCACATAGAAATGGGATTATGATAAATACTTAAAATGTTTCAGGGTGTATTTGTTTTGTTTTCAGACTCACACTTTTATTTTGTAGGAAATTGATGAAGCCTGCAAGAGAATAAAGCGTGAAGTTGATGATTTGGGCCCTGAAGTTGGTGACATTAAAATCATTCCATTGTACTCTACACTCCCACCTCAGCAGCAGCAACGCATTTTTGAACCTCCGCCTCCAAAAAAACAGAATGGAGCAATTGGAAGAAAGGTAGCATAGAAGTGTTATGTATACTATGCTCACTTTTGAGATGTCAAACTATATAGAATTACAAAGGACTAAGTTATGGGTGATTGTGAACTAGCTTGTACAGTACGAAATAATCTATATTTCAAAAATAAATAAAAGAAACGTAGTTAGGTGGAGTTTTGTGTATCTTTTGACCTGAGAGGAAGAGCAGAACTGCTTTCCACCCCTTAACAAGAAGTGTCCCCCCTTAGCAAATGGAAGATTGGCTAGGGTGAATTAAGAAAAGAGGAATATGGCCAAGTGCTGTCTTTCCGATAAATCACATGGCAAAACTAAGTACTTTTTCTTTAATGCCTTGGCTTTTTCCTGGAATTTTCTTTAAGGTGTAACCAAATGTCATGTCCACCGGTGTGAATTGTTGATTGCACAGATCTCTAATAACAGTAGCACAAATTACACTGCATAAATATATGGGTTTCTTGAGTGCGGGAACTGTGGCTCTTTTTGGTGTGGGTGTGTGCCTGGCCCAGGAAGGGAGCTTGGGTTTTCCAACCCTTTGTCTGGGCACTTTGTTAGGGATGGGGAAGGGATCTGAGTTCTAGTGTGAAACAGTACAGCCATGCTTTTATATTTTAATAGATGGTGGTTCTAATAGATTCTTTGAAAATAAGTTTGTGTTTTGATTGAAACCCACTAGGATGGTGGGGTCAGCTGACTTGAAACCCTAGCCATTGGTTAAATTTTTTAATGGCTGCATGTGAATTCTTAAACATGGCTCTGTAAAACTTAAATGAGCCAAAAACACTTGAATCGTGTGCAGCACCAGCCTATTGGAATGTGAATTAATAGGAAATTGATGGAGGCATTAACCATTTTTTTGAGTTTTTCATGGATCAGCAAGGTGGTGAATGACCTAAAAACAGTCTGACCCTAGCTTCATTATGTTGAACTTTGTCTTTAGAACATGCTAAAATATTTTTCTTTTGTTACTTTATGCGCATTCTGAACTTTAGTGGGGGGGGGATGGAACGGACCTGGGACTTGAAGTTTTAAGGGATACATTTTAGTATACAATTTTCAAGTTGATTTGTTGACTGAAAAGTACTAATTCTTTGTGAAGTTTTTAGCATGATTTTATATCAACAGATGTATGTAAACTAGCTATTTCTTAAACATCTCTTTAGTAAAGAGGAGTTAATGCATCCACCACACAGAATATTTGCCTTTTCTTGAAATTACATGCATTTGGTATATTTGCATTTGTTTTAATTTTACAATGGTGTTTTATTTATTGCTGCATAAAATTAGCATACAGCAAGATTTACTGTTTGTCTTTTCATGTAGTCTCTCCATTCCATTTTGAGTTACTTTGAGAAATACGGGTCCACACTTTTTAATCTTATTTTACATGTGAGCCCTTCTTTGCTCTGTTAATTTAGGTGCCAGTTCAATACATGATACATTTTGTAGAATCTACACCTTAAACCCATGGAGTAGAATTTGTTCTTTTAAAAAACAAAAACCAACAACTTGTTTTGTGTTCTAGTAAATCCTAAGAATATTGAGGAATATTTTCACTGAAAAGAAGAGAGGTTCCTCAGCAGCTGGTTGTAATATATATAGATGATGGGGGACCGTTGTAGTCCCCAAGGCTTGGGTTTACCTTGACTTTTAGTTGAGAATCAAAGCTAAGGGTCACAGTGTCACTTCATCATCCATTGGTGGTGCTTCATTCTGTTAAAGCTACAGGACCTTTTGCTGGGAATTCATGTTGTCTCTTGGCATGAGTCAACTTCATCTGGAGGTTAAGAAGAGCACTGTCATAGCCTCCCTGGATGATACAGAAAAAGGGAGGACTTCCTTGGCAATTGATACATCATTCTATTTTGAGGAAAAACACTTTGAAGCCCATGTTTAGGGGAAAATGAATTTTTTTTTAATGGAAGGGTTGTTGATAGAGGAAGATTTACTCATTGAGTCATATGTTTTTGATGCTGAGTAGGGAAACTGGAAGGAAGTGGGAGGAGTGCCAGTTTTTAGCTGGAGATAGCTGAAACACACTGGTCAAGCACTGACTGGCAGGCAAGATGAGCAGGTGACCATGTGAGACCCAGGGCCTGATTTGCCCAGTGAGAAAGGGAAAAGGGTTGGTGGGATTGTGGCTAAGGAGAGAAGGGTAAGAATTAGGGCTCACACAGATTCTATGAGGGAAAGTGGTGGATACCAGAACAGGAAAAACTGGCAATCAGTTGCTATTTTTCTATTCTTTTTAACATGCCACAGCTTTAATAATATCCTGTCTCCTTATCAAACAAAGGACTAGAGGCCGATGTTTGATTCTTCTATCATGAATTTATTAATTAAACACCACTGTGCCGGTTACTAGACTGGAACTTTCATTCAAGAGTGTTTACTGTCCCTGATTGATATTCACAATTAATTTAAGATTACATAGGAACATTTAGGGATTTACTTTCTGCTTTCAATTGTGTAAAAGAAAACATCTGATTCATTTTTTTGTTAAATTGCTTATGTACTTTGTTCTAATAAAAGGATAATAGCTAACAGTAGAATATAATATGCATTAAAAGGTTTGGAACAAAGAATATTTAATACAGTTTTTAAAGTTTCACCAAGTAATTGTAATTCTGTATTAGTTTATATTTGTTGGATACCTTTTGTAAGGTAGTGCCTTATTTGTTATTCCTCATTGTATTTATGTAAAATAGAGTTTGATTTGTAGTAAAACTAACAAAAGCCTTTTAGTATTAAAATTTTTAAATGTTGCCTATATTAAAGATAATGTTTTATGGCCATCTGGGGACTTAACTAGCATTCCTTTTACAAATAGTTACTTATTTTTATGTAGACTTTTGACATAACACTAATGGTGAACTATTTCATGTTTTTAATGATTAAGAAAGGTTGAAAATGCAAAACATGTATTTATTTATGTGGGGGGATAGATATTTTTGCCTGTTTTGATAATGCTTGTTTATTCAAGTATCTGACTTTAAGCTACAGCTACAGTATTTTTGTACATGCATTAAAGTTTGCTCATCAATAGATCACTTCTAAGTATCTTTTCACTAAGACATAATTGGTGCATTATAGATTTGGCGTTATTAAAATCTAGCAGCTATTCTTCGATTTTATTTAGTTTTCACTAATGTTGTCCATACAAATAGCTGATTTTTCTGTATACCTAAAATAAAATAAAAACACACAAAAAAGCAAGCTATTGGTACGGAACATAAGTGCTTTAATAAAAAGTTCATCTGAGTCTTATTAATTGTTTTGTGTGCAGTGATACATTACATGTCATCCTTCTGGAGATTGTATACTTTTCCAAACATCTACATTTGATTCTCATGATCTGTCTATTCTTGGATTCTAATTTGAGATTTTACCCACATGTGCCATTCTGTTTAAAGTGCTGAGTTTTGGTGATAGAAAATTTTCCTTCGGTAATGCTTGAAACTGTAGAAAGATGTACATGTGTGGAGTTGGATATTAACCAAGGAGTGTTTTTATCAGGGAGATAAGTGCGCAGTAAACTTATATTGCTTTATTGATGTTTTTCTTTTTATGCTTTGTTTCTATTTGAATATTCAAAGTGTATTAGATTTTGTTGAAAAAGGAAGTCCTATAATGAGGTAAATGAAATTTTGAATTCTTAAATATTAGTTTTTTTATAGCATTGGCCATTGAAGAGCAAACCTTATTTCAAGTTTATTTACTGGATTGATTTGATGTTAGGGAAAGTTAACGGCTAATCTTACTTTCATTTGAATTTTACTTGTAATAAAACATATACTGTTTATTTTTAAACAGGTAGTTGTGTCAACTAACATTGCGGAGACTTCTTTGACAATAGATGGTGTGGTATTTGTGATTGATCCTGGATTTGCCAAACAAAAGGTACTTATTTTAGTATGATAGTCGTATATTTTATAAATTAGTGTTAGCTTAACAGTAGTTACTAGCTACTCATTTATTGGCTAAAATTTACTGTTTAGAATTATTTTTGTTTATGGTTTTTAGACGACTGCTGTATGAACCCTTTGTGTTCTCTCTGGCTCTCACAAATTAAGCCCATGTTCAATGTTTAATCTCAGGATTTTTTAAAGGTCTTACTTCTTTTAAAGGTTTCATTTTCTTTGTTTCTATATAATGGTGAGTGTTTTGTTTTGTACGTTTATTTAAGGAATATGGGGGTAGTAATAGTACAGGATTATCATCCCTGCAGATCAGTTACTTATCAACTAAATTAATTTCTATTATGTGACACACATAGTATTTGAACAAAGGTATTGTGTTAATCTCTAGTTTAACGGTACTGAATACCAAGCATTTTGCCAAATGAAGTGACTACTCAATAAATATTTGTATGTTTTATTATTCAAAGATCTTTGATTACATTTTATAGGTATGATTGAGAGAATCATTGTACATAGTATTCATATTTTTGATGGAAAACTTTCCCTTTAAACTGAAAGCATGTAACTGACTTTTGGTCCAAGTTTAAAATATTTTTCTTGATGCCCACTTTGAATATTAGGTGTTGGAATTGACAGGTTCTTTTCAGGCAGGAGTCTTCAGCACTATCCACTGTATAAAAGCAAGGTAAAACTGGTAGAATTAATTACAGAGATAATCTCAATTATTTTAAATTCAAAAGGGTAAAGGTGGTCTGTGTTAGATAAGAGCTTTTCCATGTTAGCTTGAGTGTTTGAGAATGATGGAATCAGAATAGCTGAAAAAACATTATGGCAAAGGATGAGAGGTTCTGTTTCTAAGGGCACGATTTGTGGTGGTCATTAATAATATGTTTATTTTGGGATTAGGTGTGGGCTTTGGGTACTTCTGTAAATCACAGTTTTGTGTTTAATTGAAGAATCATTCTTCTGTTATTTCCCTTCTAATAGGTGTACAATCCTCGAATCAGAGTTGAGTCCCTTTTGGTGACAGCTATTAGTAAAGCTTCAGCCCAACAAAGGGCTGGTCGTGCTGGACGTACCAGACCTGGAAAATGCTTCAGACTTTACACAGAGAAAGCTTATAAAACAGAAATGCAGGTAAGAGGTTTACTGTATCCTTCCTGTTTGGAAGGTTAAGCTGAATTTGTTACCGGAAGAAAATTGCTTCATTGAGTTCATCTTGCCTTTTGGCACCGTAAACTCCTGAGTTTTTTTCCTGAGTCAGATTATGGTGTAATCTAGCAATGCAACTGTTGTTACAGTTTAAATTTAAGGTGGACAGCAGCAGTGACACTTAGAATCCTATAAAGATAGTTCATAGAAAGTGATTCCTTTCAAGTCTGTTCTATAAGTATTTTTCTCATCCGAGTCAGTGGTGTAGAATTCAGTGCCAAAGTAAATAGCTAAGGAGGCAGAGAATAGATATGTTTTGTTTTCTGGAGCAAAAGGATTAAGTAATATTTAACACAGAACAAACATTTTTGTTTTTTGCTAGGATAACACCTATCCTGAGATTTTGCGTTCTAATTTAGGATCAGTTGTGTTACAGTTGAAGAAACTTGGTATTGATGATTTGGTGCATTTTGATTTTATGGACCCACCAGGTACGAATTCTCAGCATTTTTCATCTTAACCAAAATTGGATCTCTTTCTCTGTATCCTGTTTAGTACATACATTAAAAACATTTTACCTTTTTCTTCCAGTAAGCATCAAAATAAGTCCTGTGTGTTAGCGTTAAAACTCAGAGTGACAATTATATGAATCAGATTTTTCCCCCTTCAGAATAGCTAAATTATTCTGGGAATTACTGACTAGGAATGAAAATGTGAGAAATTTTCTAATTTATTTTTTAGGAAAAATAGTTTCATGAACACATTGTTGAATGAACAGTTACTTACAAAGATGACTATTTTAACTACTAAACAGGAAAGTTTTGTAATTTTGTATGATCCATTGTTTGCTAGATCTCTGTAATTGAATTTGATGACAATTTGAGTTTTTAGTTTGGTCAACTATAGAGTGAAAAATAAGACTGCTTATAATACTTTGTACTTTGTCACGCTTTTGCTTGCCGCAGGCAACTTGTCTAATAGATTACCTTTTCCCCCTAGCTCCTGAAACTCTGATGAGAGCCCTAGAACTTTTGAATTATCTGGCTGCTTTAAATGATGATGGAGATTTGACTGAATTGGGATCGATGATGGCAGAGTTTCCTCTAGATCCACAGCTCGCTAAAATGGTTATTGCAAGTTGTGACTACAACTGTTCTAATGAGGTCCTATCTATTACTGCTATGTTGTCAGGTAATAGAGGGAAAGGAACTAAAAAAAACCCAGCTCTTCAAAGTTTGGGTGGACTTCACTTTTGGCTTTACTTTTTAATATTTAGTATGATAGTGGATTTTATAGATGGTTTTAAGGAACTCATTTTGTTTCCTAAATATCTTGTAAATAGCTTCATAATGACATAGTATTTAGAAAAGTAAGTTCTTGTGCACAAAATATAGTAAAACCATTGGCTGTCTTCAGTGCAAATAAAAATTGAAATAAGAAAAAAATAAGTCTGAACACAGTTGTAACTGAGTTCTTTGCGCTTTATTACTGACAGTACAAGAAGAACTTTGTTCTAGTACTTCACACTATAAAGTCAGCCTGAGACAATCCTAAACTATCATTTAAAGTAAACTTTTTCTACTTGCATACATACATATTTCAGTGGCAGTCAAAGATGAATTTCAAGCTTAGTATCAAATAAATAGAAGTAGTAATGTATAATTTTAGGCTTAAAATCTAACCTGATAATTCTTTTACAATGGAAGACAGACGCTTGATAAAAGATATATACAAGGGAGATAAGATTGTTAATTTTGAAAATTGGAACATTAACCTGAATAAATAGTGCTGTTTAGTAGCAGTAAAGCTTAATCCACAATTAAGTCGTAACTTGGAAATTACATTTTCCAAAAAGAAGAAATGTTAACGTACAAAGGTACACTGATTGTTTTAGCTAAACATAGGAGTGTTTATTTTACTAGTTTTAGTACTGGGGAGAATTGACTTCTAGTCATGGAGCGGTTTATTGGTCTTAATTATAACTTAATGCCTCAAATAGTTCAAAATCTTATGGAATTAATAAGTTGAAAAATTTTCTAATTACAAAAATTTTGGCCTAGTTTAGATCTATGGTATATTTTAATGGTGTGAATTTTTTTTATCTAAGAACTAGCTAAAATGTTTTTGCAGAGTTATGACTGATCAGACTCAGAGCAGATGGGCAGGGCAGTATATTAAATCATTTTAATTAAATTGTAGTCTCACTTGCGGAGGTGGTGGTAGGTTGTTGTCTGCCTTTCTTATTATATGTTGTTTGTTAGATTCTCCCAGTGTGCTTATCCCAAGATTTTAGTTTTTAGATAAAGTGCAGGACAAGAGTTAACAGATTGTTTGTGTATTTATTGTTACCTACCCAGTTTTTGTTTTTCCTAGTTCTCTTATCAGGCATACAGTTACCATTGTTTGAGTTTAGAATATTAGTCCCTTAAAAAATTGGTCATTGTGATGCAGTTGAAATCTTCCAACTACGTGTCTTATTTGTAATAGGAGTTCTACAAAACATAGGACTTACTGGTCATCCTCTTCACGTTAAGGGAGTGAATACTTATGTGCAACAGTTATTAAGCATGGCATTTGTGGGGGGAAATGCTGAAAGGTGAGGAAGAAGTCATGGAACAAAAAGCTTGCTGAGCTTGGAATACTTTGTTTTCCATTTAAATAGTTCCTGAAGTTTATAGTGCAAGTCCCGTCGGGCAGTGCTCCTTACTCCCACTAACTGGTAGCTCGTTCACGTTAACTGTCACAACCATCCGAGATTTCTGTACGCTAATGAATTACCTTGCTTCAGTCACATTAAGCAAGACTTAATATTTACTGTGATCATGTGTCATTGTCTCTCTTTGGCTTCTTTGGCATCTTTTTAAAGGGGAAACTGTATGGGAAAGAGTAATTTGATACTGTATATGATTTCATTGTCACTTATTCCCATTATCTTCTATTTGAACAGATAATTTATTTGAATTGACAAGGTTTTAACAGCTTTAAAAATGTGTTTACAGAGTCCCAAGCTGTTAAGTATTTTTATTTTCATATTGCTTTTATGACTATGGAATTGCTAAAGTGAATTAAGGAAAGTTGTATTTCAAAAAATGTAGTGCACGCTTTGTAACAACTTAAAGTTTTATGTGAATTAATATTGAGGCTCTAAACAAATACTGTAGTTACATATTTTGATGACCCTTGAAATAATGACTGTTTCAGACTAATTGTCAACTTTTTAAATACTGGATTTTGCTTTTATATTGAGGTTTTGATTTAAATAACTTTTTTTTTTTTTTTACCTTGGCACTTTACTAATCTTTTTATTAAAATGCTGGAAAGCTAGGCTGAATATCCCAGCCTTTTTGAATTTTCTTAATTCAGAGGCGGTTTAACCTTCCACCACTACTGCTATCATCAAAACCCAAGATTTCATGATATTTTTTATGTTACGTATGCTTCTGCTCACCGGTGCTAATAGTGATACCCACCAGTTGGTAATAGCCACAGCACTAGGGAAAAATTACAGTAGAAATGTGGTAGTAGACTGGTTGGAAAGTGGCCTTTAGCCCTGCAGTGGGCAAGTGTAGCTTCATAACTTTCATAGCCATTCAGTAGATTCAGTGGATGGCCTTTTGAAAAATTACATGTAGCTAAAAGGCTATTGACACCATAATTCTGGTTATTGGTAGAGCTATCAGCACTGGTTTTTGAAATAAGTTGAGCTTTCTAGTATCTTGATGGCCTTCAGAATAGCTGTTTTGATGCCTACTTTTAGATCTAGTTAAAATAATCAGGTACTCTGTAGCTTTGAAACCCTCTTGTCTTACAGATGTGGTTAGGTGTTGATGTACCAAATCAAGGTAGTACAGTCCAAGATGCAGTTGGAGGCCATCCTGCCCTGCCCTATGCTCTGTGAACTGACCTAGCTAGGCCTTGTTCCTCTATCTGTGAATGCGTGACTCATCGATATGGGCGTTTGTGTTGGGCCCATACCAACCTTGTTTAGTCCCACAGTGTTTTGTTCGCCCCACGGAGGCCAAGAAAGCCGCGGATGAGGCCAAGATGAGATTTGCCCACATAGATGGAGATCATCTGACACTGCTGAATGTCTACCACGCTTTTAAACAAAGTAAGTGTAAAACCAATTAAAGGCACTCCTTTTGTCCAAATGTCACGTGCATCATATATTTCTTCATTTCACTTTCATGTACTTGGGGCAACTTTACATTGGAAATCTAGAGGTACTTTTTAGAAGAAACTCCTGATCAACATTTAAGATAGAAGTTGATGGGTTTTTTTTTAAACTTTTGCTTTTAGGGAGGTTGGGCACCAATTACAGAAAACTGGAAAATACAGGGCAATAAGAATGAAATATTTGTATAAAATTTGCCTCAAACATACAGAATTTTTATATACTTCCCTCTGTTTATTTCCATACATTTTGCATTTTTTAATAAATAGTTATGTATCATTTGCAGAATCATTACTATCTAATATTTTTACTAATAAAAGTGCTTTTACATAAAAATAAAACTAACAATAGAAAAATGGGCAACAAATATTTATAAATGACTGTTCTTAGGCTACAGATAGTTGTAAAATCCCACGAGGAACAAAGTTCAACTTTTCAAGAAGTGCATTATTATTAAGTTACCATTTTCTTACCTGTGTAATTGGCAAAGGTTAAAAAAAATCAGCTGTGTACAAGTGGGTTTAGTGGAAAAATCTACAACAGATGTGGGAATATAAATTGTTGTCTTTGTGAAAAGCAATAGATCTTATGTTGTCAAGAACCTTAAGAAGTCCATACTCTTTGACCAAGATATTATCTTTTAGTATCCTGTGGGCACAGATCACATATGATTATGTCCCAGAATTATTTATGATAGTTAAAAAAGGAAGGGGGAAACTACCTAAATGCTCACCAATAGACAGGTGATTTAATGATTTATGCTATAGTCACATGATATTCCAGCTTTAAATCATGTTTTCAGGGAATATTTAATGACATGGAAGCATTTTACAGTTATTTGAAATTGAGGAAACAGTAATAATAAATTATTGCTAGATGCTGTTGGAGTGCACCATTTATAAAATTAAATGAGAGGAAAACTCAAAAGAGGAAAAATACAGAAATAACTGCACAGTTCCAGAAAGTGTTTTGATTTCTACGTATCTGCAAGCTAACCTGTTGGACAATGTAGGATCAAAGACAGTCCTACTGTTCGTCATCACCTTTACCAAAATGTTGGGGTTCTCAGTCACTCTGAGTTTGTGGCTTCTGCTAATAAGTTAGATTTTTAATTTATAACATTGGTGTTCACATTTTGCACCTTGTGTTTTATTTGTAACTCATTTCTATTACCTCATGATAATTCTATTGACACTTCTAAAATAGTCTTGACTTTGGCACACTCTGTAGAAGTGGTGGTGAATTTATTCATCTCAGGGTCCAAAAAGTGCTGGAGGGCCAGTATGTAGAACAGAGAGCATAGCAGCCAAGGTACTCACATCCATGGTTTACCTGTGAACCCTGGTATTAGTTCAATAGAATGACATCAGGTGGAAAAAAAGTGTGAAACCCTTTTCTGCCCAGTCTAACAAATTTGGGGCAGGTAAGGGAGGTAAATGAAAATCCAAGAGGTGAAAGTCAGTACATAGTTGCTTCAGGCATTTATTTTGTCTTTCTTGTGCCTAAAGTATTTTCAGTGCTTAATGTTAGAGACTATCCCTTCAGGGACAGTTCCTGTTGTGTGCCAAGCTGTGTCATACTGGTTGATACTGTGTGACCATCAGACACATCACCTACTCAGACTGACAGCTGCTGTAAAGGGAAGGCCTTGAGAAGGAACAGATTCACTTCCATTGTGGTTCTCAAAATCTTTTCATAATACTAAGATACTGTTTTAAGTGGAAATTAAGATTTCTAAAGGAGCAGTTTCTTTAGCCTATTACTCTCACAAGATACTTTAATTCTTTTAAAATTAAGAAATTGTATTTTGTCATTTAAGCTTTTGATAAGTAGTAGCACAGCAGCCTATTTGGATATAATAATTTTGTTATGAAAGTGAAATTTAGGATTGATGTTAGAACTGTATTTTGCTTTTAAATATAAATGTGACAGTGTAATATATGAGATTAGGAACTTAAAGATTTGAAAATGACAACATTACTAAATAATGTTTGTTCTTCATTCATACTTAGGAGATTTCTGTGAAAATACTGGAACTGTGTGTGTGTGTGTGTGTGTGTGTGTGTGTGTGTGTAAGCTTTTTCTACTCCTAAATAGGAATAGCAGAGGAATGTCATGAACTAGAATTGTAGCATCCACTCATTAGTGCTAATATCTAACTTCTAGATCTGTTTGGTTATTTCATAGCTATTGAATTTGTACTGTTTTCACTGATGATTTCTAAATGATGCTATGTTGTGTAATTAATTGAAACAATAAGTATATTTGAAAAACAGCAAATATATTTCTAATTAGTCAGGAGGATCTATTTTATTAGATACAGTGGTTGATTACATAGTAAAGCTAAAATTCATCTTCATACTATTTGTTTAAATAACACTTGAAAAACAACTTGATTTGAGTTACTTTGCAACACCTTAATTTCTCTGAAGTGTGTGTGTGTGATTTCACTCTGAAATTGTTTGGCTTTAGATCTTAAGTATAGTTTACCATATTGGTAAGAAATATATACCTAGAATTACTTTAAGAAAATATTTCTGTTTTTTAATTTTATCCCTTCCATTTATCAAATTATTTCTCACAAGTTTAGATAAATAATATCTGATAGTTCTGTATATCTTGACAACTTAAAGTTGTTCTTTTGTTACTCTTGTGTATTCTAAAACTTTAGAACCTCAGAAAAGCTGCACTCCAGAGTGCAGTCAACACTTTTTATAAGTTCCCATTTTTATTGTCTTAGTTTTGACATTTTCATTGCCTTTCAGCTTAAGCAAAAACATCTCTAAAGCATACTTTCTCTCTGTTTCATCTTAAAGATATTCAGCGCTTTATTTTAAATGTCAGTAAGTTCAGATGGGTACCTTTTAGTTCTCATTCTAAATGAGTTAATTAATGGCCATTTTAACACATTTCTTCAATTTAAAGATCCATTTTACTACCTCCCTACCCACCCATTCTGTTCATGAAATGTGGCTGCATTTTGTAGTAGGTAAACATTTATTAATATATCTATTGTTTCTCTGAAAATCTATTAAAGAAAATGAATCTTATAATTGATAGAATTCTAAAACCAAGGAGAAAAGAATATGCCAGAGATTCATGTATATCACAGTAGCTGGAGAAGGATCACCACACCTCCAATTTTTAGGCCCCACCCTTCTCTCCATTTCACAATGGCCCTCTTAGATTTAGTTTTCAAAGGGCCTCCTTGTGATTATCTTTGGTATGTAAAGATGTTACTGTATATTTTACATTGTGCTACAGCTTGAGTTCTTAGATGAGCAACAGATTAGTGGGACCTTTGTCAAGGATTCATCACTGGGGAAATTCCTTTGACAGTAAATATCTGGAGCAAAATTACTTGGAAGTGCTTTATGAGTGGGGGTTCTGGACAGCCTTGTAACTTTATCACTTGCATTTTAAACTCTGTCCAACACTAAGAGGTACATGGTTCACAATTGGGTGGAGGGATTAAGAAGTGCAGATTGGTTGTTAAAGAATAATCATGGGGATGTACAGTACAGCATAGGCAGTACAGATGGTGTCCGACGAGTAGGAGATTTATCAGGATGATCACTCAGTAAGTTACATAATGTCTAATCACTGGGGTGTCCGCCTGAAACTAATATAGTATTGGATGTCATTGAAAAGAAAAAATTATTTAAAAAATAATCAGCCCTTCTTCAAGGCTTCTCCAAATAAACATATAATCTTAGTTTAAAAACAACAACAAAACAACCAACTTTAAAGTTTTGGGTCCTCTACCTCAGGCATAAAGAAAAAATACACAGTAATTTAAAATTCACTGTTACAACTTTTAAATTGAATTTGAACATCTAAGGTTGTCTTTTCTTGGAAAACGAGGACACCCTGGCCAGTGTGGTTCAGTTGGTTGAGCACCGTCCCATCTCCCGAAAGGTCACGGGTTTGATCCCCTGGTCAGGGTGCATAAGGGAGACAACCAATCCATGTTTCTCTCTCTCCCTCTCTGTTCCTCTCGAAAAATCAAAAACATTTTTTAAAAAGAAAATGAGAAAGACATGGCATTTTACCAAATTCCTTCTACCCTCCCCCCTTAGACCATGAATTGGAAACAATTCATTAAAAAAGGTTTATTCAAAAATCATTGTTTCATCATCCAATAGCCTAAAACCCTACAGATTTTTAGTCAAGTTGATAATGTTGTGATTCATTTATAAAGATGATTTGGGTAAATCCCCTTTCTGGATTATTTAGCTTATACTCTTTATAACAACTTTCCTTTTTAATTAGATGATAGACCTTTTGGATGATTCATGTCCCTTCTTTTTTTTCCCCTTCAACTTTGTAGATCATGAATCTGTTCAGTGGTGTTATGACAACTTCATTAACTACAGGTCCCTGATGTCAGCAGATAATGTACGCCAGCAGCTATCACGAATTATGGACAGATTTAATTTGCCTCGTCGAAGTACTGACTTTACAAGCAGGGACTATTATATTAATATAAGAAAAGCTTTGGTTACTGGTTATTTTATGCAGGTATGTGAATAATACAGTAATACAAAATGAATATTTACATAATATTGTTTACTTCCTATAATAGTCCTTGGAATCCACTTAAACACAAAAAGTCAGTTCAAGAAAGCCTATGAATATTGATCTTAAATGTTATGTCTAAATTCTCAAATGAACTAATATACTAAGACATTTTATGTGTCTAATGAATAACAAATTCCCTAAATGGCAAGTTACCAATTCAGTTAGGTAAAAATCAATTTTAGAATTACTTTTTTATTAAAGGAGTATTTATACCAAATGGATATGTTGTCCATTTTCAGGTGGTATTAGCAGCTATTTCCTCAATATAAATTTCAACCCTTGGTAAATGTATTAAAAGTTTCCTTGAATCTAGATCTCCATTGGAGATATATAATTGTTACAGGGTACTAAAAGGAAGCAGTCGTCTGGGTGGATCCAGAAGTATAGTTCACTTTTCTCTTTATGTAGTAACTGATCACTCCAGAATTCAAATACTCAAACAGTATATTTCATTCACAGTTCTATAGTGATCATTGGTATTATAACAGACATTTTGTGTTACAAAAGCCAAAAATGTGTTACTTTTGAGCTAAGTAATAAAGATGGAATAGTTTTAAGTGTGCTATGTGGAGGCCATAGGAACTGAAGTGAAACTTTTTAGGCAAATTTAGTGAACATTTATTATTTTAAGATTTTATGTTTATTAGAGTTAGGTATGAATAGTAGAGTTCAGTATGAAGATTCTCCAGGCTCTTAATTATATTTGTAATATATACTAGTGTACACTAGCTTCTTTATCACATGTTCTTAAACTGGCTTTTAATTCAAAGAATATGGACAAAGCTATATTCAAGCATTATGGATTTCTAATTTTCTCTTAAGATTTAAATTTCTTATAAAATGGGCATGCATTATAGTACCTTGCTTTTTTGCTTCTCCTTTTTTACTCTTTATTTTTTATCTTAAATGTAAATCTTCTAGTAATTGTTCATCTCTATAGTTGTCACCTGCTGCTAAATAGGTGACATTTAGAATCCACTCAGATAGTCTTTGGCAGGGAAAAGGGCCTGATAGTATATATAGCAGGCTTTCTGGACACGTCGGATCCCTGTTGAATCTAACTACTAGGCTGTGCCTGCTTTTCTAGTGAGAAAGCAACCATGGACAAATGGGCATGCCCGTGGTCCAATAAAACGTCCCTGCCACTGAAATTTAAAATTCATGTGATTTTTTTTCCTCAGTATCAAATGTTGGATTGGTTTGTTCTGTTTTGTTTTGATTATCCCCTCCCCTAATCATTTAAAGATGTATGAGCCATTCTTGGCTGACAAGCCTTTAAAAAAACAGGCAGTGAGTTGCATTTGGCCTGCAGTACTTTGCTCATCCCTGCTTTTATCAGACAGTGATAAGTAAGAAGAGCCATGGCATAAAAAGCAAAAGGGGAGGCCTGTGTGTTCCTAATTTTATATATATATGTAGGTAGCTTTATACCACTTTTGCTTTGTAACTAGCACTTCAGAACCATTGTGTATTAATTTATTGGGTTTTGGTTTCAGGTGGCACATTTAGAACGAACAGGGCATTACTTAACTGTGAAAGATAACCAGGTGGTTCAGTTGCATCCCTCTACTGTTCTTGACCACAAGCCTGAATGGGTGCTTTATAATGAGTTTGTTCTTACAACAAAGAATTACATTCGGACGTGTACAGATATCAAGCCAGAATGGTAAGCTACACCTTTTGTTCATTGGCTTTTGTTAGCATTTTGCTCAGAATGGAACCTGACTTTGTTATAGGATAGATGTTCTTCCTGTCCCTCTTAAGGGAACTTGGTATTCTATATACTTTGGTGGTGTGTAGTTAGGGACTTTGACCTGATAGTATGGTTACCCCTTACAATCTTTGCTGAGAGGAGAGGAGGATTGTTGGTATGGGCATGGGCAGGATTTGGAACCAGATATAAAAAGCTTCAGTTGACTAGGATCAAGAGTGTTTTTGGAGCCATTCTCGCGCTGTTGTGATTAACGCAGATTCCCTGGCTCCAGAAGTCAGTCTTTATATTTTATCTGTCCCATTATAATTGGCTCCCAGCTATTTATTATTTATATGTTGGTGCTTTGGGAGCTAAGCAAATGTAAAAATTATACCTGTCTTTGTATCTTAGCATATTTGATTTTACAAAATGTAATCAAAACTGATTGTGTTATTTTAAGCAAAATTAGCACCACCACTGCTACCCTTTGTGTGTGGAAGTTGTGGGGCTCCTTTTTTTTTCTTTCCCTTCCAGAATCCATTCAATAATATATGATGGCAAACATCAGCCAAGAATGGTGGGACTGAAAGCATTTATTTAGTTGATGTCACTTGCTATATATTGTGAGGCTCCTTTCCTACAGTGATTTATGACTTTTGACACTTAAATTGTATAGGACATTACCATTTTATCTTATGTACTTTGTTGAGAAAAAATTGTATGGCTAAACATTAAAAAGATTTCAGTCAAGTGTATTCCTTGGGGTATAGTGTTATATTTATAGTTATTAAAACTTTGAAAATGAGAAGATCCAATCATTTGAATACCAAGATATTTCATTTATAGGATCTGTACTGCTATAACCTTGGAGAGGTTGGTTAAAATAGTGTTCTAGAGTGAATAAATGAATCACTTTATGTTAGTAAGTATCTTTATATTAATGTAAATAAAAGTTTTTGGGTTTTTTTTTTAATTTATCTTGAGTTTATTTTTAAGTTTATAGGTACTTCAACATCAGAAAACTTACAGCTTACTAGAATCACACATTGCTAAAAGAGGTGTTTTTAAGGAGTAGGCATTTATAATTTTAACACTGATGTGGATTTGTAGATTTGCCTTTACCAATCAGTTGATTAATGAGTAATGCCTATTCTATTTTTTCCCTCCTCTGGACAGGTTGGTGAAAATTGCCCCTCAATATTATGACATGAGCAATTTCCCACAGTGTGAAGCAAAGAGACAGTTGGACCGCATCATTGCCAAACTTCAATCCAAGGAATATTCACAGTACTGAATCCAGTGCTTAGAACTGAAGTGATTCAGAGGACAGCTTTAAAAGATGAGTGGACTGAAAGTTCAAGTTGTGCTCTTCACGTTGGTTCAATAATGGCCTTTATTTGAAAGCTTTTTAATTTTTCTTTACAGTAAATATTCCATTCTGATTTCATAAATTAAACATTTATGCCTCCCTTTTGTGTTGACACTGTAGCTCATACTGGAAAAGTCGATCAATGTTTTGCAGTTTATTGAAAGTAGTTCTATATATAACAATGTTATAAGCATTTCTTTAGAAATGGTTGAAAATGCTTCTAAAATGTGATTATCGACCATGGTATGCATGATCGTTGTAATTGTTGACATTCCTTTTTAGAAGTTGTGAAATGTTACAACTTGTGCTTATGTAGACACAATCTTCTGTCTCAGTACAGAGGCACTGACTTCAATAAAGTCTATTTATACTAATTTTGGCCAAAGCACTTTGATATCTTTGTTCTAGTCTCTTTAGGTATGGCTTCTTCTCTTCCAGAGTGTGGTGTGTTTTTTTGTTTTTTGGGGTTTTTTTTCAATTGTAAGTATACTCTCATTACATATTTAGCATCTTCCCACAAGAACTGCTCTTTAGATAAAGTAGTCTGTCTTTAAAGCAATATTTTTAAAAACATAGCTTTGCACTTTGTTAGGTTAATCAGGATGTGATATGATGGGGTCAAGTATGTAGCTTTTATTCAAAATTGGATCCCAGAAGACAAAATAATGAAAGGAGAGCTTTCGCTTCGTCTTAAAGTTCATTTCATGAGGCTGATAATTTATTATTTTGTTAACCACATTTTAGCAAATCTTTTTGTTAGAGAAACAGTCCAAGCACTCTAATCTCTGAAACAAATGTTTATTCGTATTAAATAGGTAGTAGGGAATGATATTATATTGTAGATCTTGATTTCAGTGTTGGATGTTTTATGTGATGTACAACAGTAATTAGTATAGTGTGTAAAATGTGCATTTGACTTTCCATTTCCTGTAACAGGCTGTAGACAAGTTACAAACCCTTTCTAAACCATAAATAAAATGTTTGATGTGACCCATCAAAGGGTCTGCAATCACTTCCTTTCACTCGAAGACTAAATACTGTACTCATTAATGCCTGGACACCCTTCTTCTACTTCTTCCCTTTTAAAAATACTTAAGTGTTAAAGGAAATATATAAGTATGTGTATAGTTGGAATTTAAATGTACTTTGAAGCATAATTCTAGTATGTGACTTGAGGGAGTTAGTTGGGCAAATTAAAGAGTATTTCAGGTTACTGACGTACTTTTTAGCGTAGATAGTTGTTACTGAATGATGCCTGGTGGCTTAAAGGAGTTAATGTGCTTATGTAAGTATCTGATTTTGTTCCCATGGAATAATTTACATGCTGAAATAATATTTTAGATTACATTTAAATTGGTTAACATTTTATCCTATATTAAGTATTGGCAATGTTATCTGCTAGAGTTTTTTGGAGTTATGTTGTGAAAGGTACTTGGTCAGACCTTTTCATTAAAAAGGCACCTCTTGCCAAAGTTATATGTTGCCTGTTAAAATTTATAGGACAGGTGTACAGTTTGTAAGACAATTGCATATTTTTATATAATCTTACTATTAGCCAATTTTAAATGGGTCTCAGTATAGTTATATGTATTGCTGAAACTTGTGGTTTTAAAATCTGATGCTATGCCATTAGGTTTTCTTAGAAAGAAATTAATTTATAGAGCTCCTGATAAGTAGAACACAGTTTGGTATTTGGTAGTTTCTAGGAACAGTATGTGTTCTTCCCACCTTGTTAAGTGCTGAGTGTGCATTGGGGGGCTACATGACAAAGGGAAAGCAAGCTGAGCTTATGTTCCCTGTCATCATGCCTGCTCACTGCCTTCAGTTTTGCAAGGCTGGCCACGTCTCACCAAAACTGGTAGTTTCTTAATCGTTGATGTTATTGGCAAAGGTATGGCTTTAAAAACTCGTGTTCTCCAACCCCTTTGTTTTAAAGATTTGGCAACTGATTACTAAAATGGTTATAATTTCCCTTGTTTATATTAGGTGGTCCCAACTATGAAATGAGTCCTATGGTGTATGTAGAACAAGAAAATTAAAATTTTTTCTATAATGTGCAGAAAGTTGTTTTTGAAGATTTTTTGAAGTGATCTGTCTTGAAACTTAGAGCAGCTTTTTGTTGTGATTATGGGATAGGGAAAGAGGGCTGTCAACAAGTAGAACCTTTGACTATAAAAGTTGAGGAAACAAACACGGGGAATAGGACAGGACAAAAATACATCCTGTAATCAGTTCACTTAGCCAGAATCCAGAAAGCCAGATTACATTCTATGCTGAACTTTTTTAATGTAGCATATGACTTAGTCCTAGAATTTGGGGCTTATGAGGTACCTACAAACACTTGGGATTGATACTTTAAAGAAGACCATTACTTTTGAAGAAAGCTTAATTCTGTTAGAAATGCTGAGCTAAAATTAAAATCTATAACTTTCTGATTCTTCCTTCTAGAGCAAAGTTAGCTAAGTAAGGACTTTTCGGCAGCACCATTTGAGTTAACTGTCACCTTCCTTTATTATTTAGGCTGAATAGCCTGTTTTCCCCTCAACCTTCCTCTTTAACACAGTTTCTAGCTATCCTGAACATTACCGATCAACCTCTGCCAGGCGTTCTTTGGACTGTATTAAACACTATGGTCTAAAGTGGAAAGTGTGCAGTGGACCCTGTAATTCCCAGGGCACCAGACGTGCTATCATTTCTGTTAATGTAACTTATGATTAACATTATATTCAAGTTTGATAACATAAAATTTATAGTGACCATTCCAGCAAGCATAGCACGCTTTTGGCTCATATTAATCTTAATATAAATTTAAGGCATCTAATTATTACATGATGGTTTTGGATGTTGCTCAGCTGAGAAAAGACCCTGGGCAGTGCTAATATTTGGAGACTTCACACATTTAAATGCATCCATGGTTCATCAAATAACCTTTAAAATATCAAAGACATTTTAAAAATTGCTTCTTAAAATGAGATAGGAATATCTTAATTATGCATAGTTTATAGTGAGAAACTAACAAATACATTGTTTTCAAATGTAATTTTTATCAATATTGAATTTTTTAAAAGACATTTGGTATACACTTCATTAAACATTGACTTAAATTTTATAGTTTCTTCTATAAAGTATGGGGGGGATTGTGTTCTGGTCTCAGCATTTTTAGTAATGCCCTAATGCCATTACCTGCGGGTAAAATAGCCTTGGAGATCACCATTGCACAAGTGGTCAAGTAATTTATCTTGCCATCGCCAAGGCAAACGTGTTTATTGAGCATTTCTTGCTGCAGTGACTTCGATTGGTATACACTGCCCAGATTATGGGAACTTTCTTACTTTGTTTACCTGAATTCTTTCATTTGAACTTGATAATTCCTCATTTTTAGGATATTTGAATTTAGCCACCAAAAAAAACGCTAGCACCTGTATTATTGGTTTAGCCCAGACCTGAGAGTTACTTATGTTTGGCAAGTTTCTTTAACTATGTGGACATACTTTATTCTGTTTGAAAAGATACTCTTTTTTGTAGTCTTCACTTATACTTAATAGTAGACTATAGAAAATGTAATCTGATGGAGAGCTCAAGTCATAAACATGGGAGAGTCACATTAATATGTGTTGGTTTTATTTTCAAACACTTCCTCCTGACACCATTTTGTTTTTCTTTATTCCGTCATAGAATTTTGGTGTAAACAGCTTAGTGAAACGGATCGTAGTTCATTTCATTAAGCACTATCTCTGGAAGGCATTGTGTGAGGCTATAAAATAGATTGATAATTTGGAGACCATCTCGAATTACGGTCTAGTTGGGGTTTAAAAAATATGTGCAAAGACCTGTACTATAAAGAAAGGTAATAGTGAATGTGATAATGAAAAGGTCAAAGAGTTAACAGTTATCAGAAAGGAAAGGTGGGTTATAAGGCAAATATTGAGGAAAGTGGTATAAATAAGCAAATTAAATGGTTAAGCGTGAACCATTGGAAGTGAGTGCTAATGGCTGAGATTAGTTTATATTCCTGCTTCTAACCAGTTGTCATGTCAGAATGCCTGATGGTATTTCAAACAAAGCTGAAAGTCCAAATTTATATCTAAAATCTCCCTATTGGAAATGATAGGTTTTGTTTTTTTAACTCTTAAAGCTGGGTTCTGGGCAGCCATTTGTAACTTCTGGAGTAAGTAATCAGGAAATCTTGTGGAGGAGGTTTAGTTGGACCTCAGACATGATTTCAACAGCACTAAGGATTTCTTAGATGATTGACAGCATTTCAGGCCATGGGCTTTTTCAGTCTACAGTTTGAAGCTTGACAAATGTATACATTTGTAGAATCACCCATAGACAACATTTTCATTATGCCAAAGGGTTTCCCCCATCCCTTTGAAACTTATCCCCACTCCAGGTGCTTGGCAACCGCTAATGTTTCTGTCCTTTAGGTTTCTCCCCAGAAAGTCATAAATGGAATCATTCTCTGTAGTGTTTTGTGTCTGGTTTCTTGGGAGTAATGCTTTTAAGATTCATTCATATTGCATATATCAGTACATTCTTATTGCTGAAGAGTCCATTATGTGTGTGCCATGTTTGTTTCTGTCTTTACCAGTTGCTAGAAGTTGGTTATTTCTAGCCTTTGGCTATTATGAATAAGCAATATGCATACTGGCCTCTGTGAATATTGGTTCACATTGCTCTTGAGTAAATACTTAGGAATCAGATTGCTAGGTTGTGTGAGGTACATGTTTGTTTAATTTTACGAGAAACTTCCAGTTTTTCAAAATGCTACCATTTTGTTATCCTGCCAGCAGTATATGTGTTTAAGTTTCTCTGCATCCTTGCCAACATTTTATAATTACCAATTTTTATTTAAAATGTCAGTCATTTTTCTAGGTATATTGAAGCTCATTGTGGCTTTGGTTTGCATATCACTAATGATACCTTTAGTGATGCTGAGCACCTTTTCATGCCTGTTTGCCATTCATACCTCTGGTAAAGTGACCGGTAACATCCTTATAATTGGTTTTGTTGAGTTGAAGAGTTCTTTATGTATTCTGGATCCAAGTCCTTAACAAGATAATGTTTTCCTGGCCTGTTGACTTGGCTTGTCATTTCTTTGATGTCTATCAAAAGGCAGAACTTTGAAATATTGATGAAGTCCACTTTCTTTTTTTTCTTTAATGGTTTATGAGTCAAGGTCCAGTTTTGATGGTGTGTTAAGGAAGCAGCAAGGAGTCTAGTTTGAAGCATGATGTCTCAACTTAAAAAAATAATTAAAGATGACAATGTAGGTGACACAAACTATTCCACAGTTCACAATGCAGACCGTCTCCTTTCAGAGAACCGCAAAATGGGGTGGAAGGCAAGAAGCTTTTATAGATTAAAGAACAAGGAAGAGAGAAGATACCTGATGTCTGGGGCCACAGTCAACCTCGTTTGGGGTGAGAAGGCCCAGAGCTGGCTTGGCGTTTGGGCATTGGCTGGCTATACTGCATTTATAGGGGCATAAGTGGTAGGTACCTCAGTTTCAGTTTGCTGATAGGGCATCCTGGGCAGATGTAGCTCCATGTTGGGCCTAGAAATTTATTTCAACAGTCATGGGGTGAGGACAGATGAGGCTGTGAGTTTAGGTTGAGAGAGGTGGAGGGCTTTCAAGGCTAGGCTAAGAGTGGATCGGATGTCATTGTAGAGGCTGGGCACTGAAGCCACTTAGAACCGGACAGAATACAGGTGATGGCAAGAGACGAAACTGATGAAAAGCAAGGAGTCATCAGGAATAGCTGGTTTAGGGCATATACATGAAGGAATGGCTGGGTGTGCCCGCTGGGATCATTTCACGTTGCAGGGAGGCGCAGTGGATGAGAGTTGTGAATCTAGACACAGGCTGCAAACAGCCGAAAGAGCAGGAAGTAGTCTGGCCATCTGTTTTGTGTGACCATTGTGGGATGTGTTCAGTCAGAGCCACTGGTTAGAAATGGAGAGGTGGTATAGTTTTCAAATTTTCCGTAGATCTGGTA